AAAAAAAAAAAAAAAAAAAAAAACTAAACCGCAAGCAGCACCCACCCCCTTCTCCCCCACCAGGGCTGTAGTGTGAGGGGAGAAGAGGAAGGCAGCTTCACCAAGGCCATGGATCACTCACTCCTGGCCAAGGGAGCAGGGTGAAGGGCAGGGGCTCCCCGACAGATTGAGGGGGTGGGGGGAAACCAAAACAAAACGTCAAATAAATTGTGTAGGAGTCCAGCCAAGGGCCAGGCCAGAGCTGGGCCAGGCTGGGGGAGGGGGCCTCTGCAGGCTTGAGGATCTCTGCTGCCACCACCGCCACCCTGGATAGGAGAGAGAAACGAGTAAGACAGGAGAATACCTTCAACAGAAAGGGTGAAGACCATTGCTGGGGGCAGAAAGTAGGCCTGGAACAATTAAGACTAAACTGATGGTAACATAGTGTGAAGGGGATTTGGGGGAAGTTTGTCACACTTACCTGGGAGCCAGTTATTTTGCCATGGCCTTGATTGCAACAGCTGCCTCCTCTGTCATGGCAGACAGCACTGTGATCTGGGGCAGCAAAAAAGGGAGAGTCAGAAATCTGGGCTCAGTGGAAGAAGCACAAAGAGGAAAGCTAGGAATAAAAGGGCAGGATGACACCGTACCAGGATCTCTTCTCCACAGTCGTACTTCTGCTCTATCTCCTTGCCGAGATCTCCCTCGGGCAGACGAAGGTCCTCTCGCACCTCCCCACTGTCCTGGAGCAGTGATAGATACCCATCCTGGATGCCAATCAGCTGGGGACAGATAAGGAAGGAAGCTGAAGGTAGGCCCAAGAAGGTTAAGGGTAAACGGTCTATGAACAAACTGGGGTGGGCAAGCTGCTAACACCAATACCCTCTCTTTCAATTTTCCCTCTCTGCCAGAATAAGTTCTTCTGGTCAATTTATATTGCCCCCACAAACCACTAATCCGTTTACATCCAGATCATCTACATACCTGGAAATCATTCCTTTTGATGTTGGGGACATCCATATTATGAGTTGATGGGCAGATATCTTCATATTTCTTCCCAGTAAAGATGTCAATACCAACCAGGTGAACCTGTATGTATGCATCACATCAAAGAGAAACCCAACCAAGCTCTAGGATGGAGGAGACAAAGGCTCAAGTTGTCCCTGGCTGGTGAGGGAAGTCAGACTAAGTTGTTAGGGCAACATTTAGGGGAGTCAGAATTGAACCAATCAACTCAAGAAAGACATTAAAGCCTCTTAAAAACACATGAGAGTTGACAGCACGAGGGAACCTGCAGAGCCCACTTAAGAGTAGTCAGTTACTTGAAGTTACGAAAATACTGACAAGCTAGGAATCTAAGGGAATGGAAGGAGTTAGGTGAAAATTTGTTTCTGGACATCAACATAATAGACTTGAGAACTTGGGAAATAAGGAAAGTAGAAGGTAAGAGCTGAGAAAACAAGGATTGAGAAATGAAGGCTGAAAATAAAAAAGGACTTGGGGGAGATAAGAAATAAGTAATTAGAAAATAAGGAAACCAGTAGGAATATGGAAAAGGATCTAGACACTAGGGATGAATGCCAGGTCAAAAGTAGATAGAAAAATTGGTGAGGGAACAAAACCACAAATTCAACAAGAATGAACCAGGTTGAACTTCTGAGGAAAAGAGGCCTAAAGTGACAAGGAAAGCACTAGGAAGAACATTAGGACTGAAGGACACAAAGAGGCAGCTCAATGAACTCAAGGCAAGTGGGTAGGTAGAGGCAGTGTGATACTGCATCAGAGATCCAAAGGGAAAGCTGGCACTAGAGTGGGGCAGCAGGAAGGTCTGCAAGCTAGAGGGATACTGGTTCCCCTACAGGCAAGCTGCACTGTGTTAGCACTGGAGAAACCCTGGACAAACTGATGGAAACAAAGAGCACCTATAAAGACTCAAGGGAAGAGAAACAAAGAAAGTGAAAGCCAGGAATAAGGAAGGAGCAGCTCAATAGAGCATAAAGGACTACCAAGAGAAGTTAGAGACTCAAACAAGGTGGAGAAAGGGAGGGGCTGCCAGAGAATGATGGGACACAGAAAAGGTAATGAAGGAAGGCTGGGGAGCAGGTGTGATTTAAAGGGATCCAGGCCTGAGGGCTGAACACAAGGAACTGGACAGTGAGAAAAGAGCTAAAGGAAGCTAGAGAGCTAGGACTGATGATAGCTTGCTGCCAGGAGCTCCATGGATAAGGGAGGTGTGGGGAAGGCAAGCCATTGAGAGATGAAATTCTAACCTTGGCATGACCATGCTTGCCAGTCTTGGAGGTAGACATCTCCACGATCTTACATGGCCGGCCTTTGAGCACCACAAAGCCATTCTTACGTAATGCTGAGCACTGCATTGGGAAGGTGGCTGAGGCCCCTGCATCTCCTGTCTCGAAGTCCAAATCATCTGCCATTTTGAGAGGCTTTGATTCCAACTAGAGTCAAGAAGAGAACTGAGGTCAGTAAGGATGGAGGTCAAAAGAGCCTCCTATCTATCCCACTCCTCTGGAAACACCGCTTCATTCCCCACCCCACCAAGCTCTTTATTCCATCACCCACCGAAAATAAAGGCAAAGTTCCTAGATTAAATTCTGAATGGGATCACAAATATTTAAGATTGATGTGTATATGGGGTGGTGGGTGGACTTAAGCTGGATCCCCATCCCAAATGAAAGCTAAAGGGGTGGCTTGGGAAAAGAAAGCTCCAAGGACTTAGGATGCCAAATCTCTAAGATGGGCGAAGACCTAATTCCTGGGAAGGGGAGGACTCAGGTGTTACTTGCCACTGAGACCAACCACCCCTCTTCCCCCACACATAACCAGAGCTATAATTAGGTGAGCAGCTATGAGCCAGCAGAAGGGCGGGGCTAATGTGAGAGGGGAGGGTGGAGACCGGAGGACACAGCCCCACCCATCTGTTACACCCCCCACCTTATCCACATACAAGCCAGTCATTGGTACAGGAAACCACAAGGCCTCTTAGGGGGATTCCCGCCTCTCCAACATGCATTTGCAGACGCAACCGAAGAGAAAGTAAAGTTGTTTTCTAAATGATCCCCCGGCCAAACACCTCGATCTCGTTTCCCAAAGGGAACCCAGAAACCCAGCTTCTCCTCGAGGGCCCTCCCACTTTTCCCAGCATGCACCGGTCTTGTCGGCTTTTCAGGCCTGGCCTGTACAGTCAGTATAAGTGGGGGAGTCGGGAGTGGCGAATGACAATAAAGTGAAAGCAAAAAGCTGGTAGTAGTGAGTAGTGTAAATTATTAGAGTTAAGGACTCTAAAACGAGGAACTCCCAAATTAGACACAACGAGGAAGACAGTGACAAGGTGAAGAGCACCTATCACAGCAGGGAACTCATCTGCCTGGGACTTTAAGGTGCTGTCTGCACGGCAGAGAAGAGTTGGGCTCCCATCCAATCGCCCTCGGTTTCCCCATTTCTCTGGCCTCCCAGCACGTAAGAGTGCCACTTACAGTAGCTGGCTGGCCGCCTCACTTCACATGAAGACGGGGTAAAGCTGCAGGGCCCATGAGGTGGGGGAGCACTAACACATGTCCAAAGCGGGCTCTCCGGGGTGATCAGGATCTGGGCCTCGAGCTTCTCCCACTCCTCAAACTTCCAAGCCCTCTGAGGCGCCCGTGAGGACCAGCCCTCCCTGTGCTGGGAGTTGCCGGGTCCCGTCCACCATGTGGCTCCCGGGGGCTTCCGGTGGCCAGGATCTGGGGGGAGGGGTCCCCACGCTACCATGAGGTCCCCGTCTACGTTTGGCTATGCGGCCTCAGACCCCTAGAACAGCCTCCCGTGGTGGGCACTTCCGGTGCCGGGGATGCCCCCTTCTCAAAGGCCACCCCAGACCGAAGCCACGCCGCCTCCCCTCCCCCGCGCCGGCCGCCAATTCCCCTCCACATGCCCTCTCACCGAAAAGCCCCCTCCCCCACCTCACGTGGCTAAGCGGCCCTCAGTTCTCAACGGTCCAGGTACTCCTGCTCCGGCGGGCCGATCTGGCCCCCAGCTCTCACCCCGGCGTGGCCGCCCGGCGGCGTCTCCCGCGTGGCGGCCTCACGGCGCGCCGTCCCCCGCCCTGCGTCGCTCCAACGTCACCCAACCAACCCCAACCCCGCGCGCCAACAGAGGCGCGCGCCCGCGCCTCTCCGCACCTCACGCTGCTCGCCGACGGAACCCCGTGCTGCTCCGGCCGCCGCTCCCCTCTGCCCCCTACCCGACCCCCGAGCAGTTCCATCTCTACTCCCAGGCCTAAGCCAACGTTCCGCGCACGCGCGCCCTGCCCGCTCTCACCTCGCGCGAACGCACTGACTCGACCCCGTCCGCTCGCCGCGAGCCCAACCGCAGCCTCAAGAGCCCGCTGCCGCCGCCGCCTCTACCGCCGCCGCCGCCGCTGCTGCTGCACACGGGTCTTAGTACGCAGGCGCCGACTCCCCACTGACCAACCAAGCAGCCCTGTGACAGCCGCGCAAGCGTGCTATCTATCTCCTCCGCCCTCCACCCCCGCACTGCGCAAGCGCACAGGTCCTCCCCGAGCTCCACCCTCCCTCCCACCTACCCATCTAGTGACGTGTATACGTAACCCCGCCCCCCAGGGGCCTGAGCGCTTCCCACCAGTAGGCAATGCGCAGGCGCATCCGGTTTTTTAATCCCTTCAACCTCCTCTTCCCTCCCCTTAGTAGACCACTAGACCTACTGGACAGTCCCTGCGCTTGCGCAATAAGGAGATCTGCACTCCACACCCTCTAAAGGAAACGCCTCGCCCTCAAGGCGCATGCTTATTGGGAATCCTGAACGCCCCTTCCACCTCAGACGTAGCCTGTACGCCAGGCGTTGAAGAGACCACGCCACTGTATTGCTTGTCTTGTCTAGGACGCATGCGTCTTAGGAAACGCCCCACCTCGGCTTTAACTGTACTTAAAACAGCTCACACGTTTCGGAAAACTTGCGCTGTGGGGTGGCCCCTTGTCTCAAAGCCCATAGCCCCGGTTCCACGCATGCGCGATAGGGCTCTTTCAGCTCCACTGTTTCCGGCGCGCTAGTGTGGTTGGGTCACTACGCTTCTCAGCTTCATTCTCTGAACTGTAGGCTTCTGCTCTGCCATAGAGCTTCACCCGGAAAGATAGAGCGGACGGTCCTGTCTGGGCCACCATCTTGTTTAAGCCCTCGGTCTGTATTGGCCCCCTAAGGCTTCCATAGAGGTCTTTCTGCCTTTGAACCATGAAGAGACCTAATGCTGCATCCCCTTTTTCCCCAACTGCTCTCTGGTCTCCAAAACGATTGTCTGCGAGCAACCTTAGAAAAACTCTATAATAAAAAGTGTTATGTTACATTCCACTGACGTCCTCTAAATCATAGAAAATGACCATGATCCTGGAAACAAGCTATCTCTCGGAATTTATTTCCCTGGCTCGCATTCTAGGGAAGAGAGCGGCTGCCTTTCCTGAAACGCTGTGGTCTTTTCTCCAGTTTGTAAGTTTACAATACTACACAGCCACCTTGTTTGCTTCAGTAAGTTAGGTGGACGGCGGGAACAGTACTGTGAACAAGACAAGCAACCAAAGATCTGGACTTGGAATCCAAAATCCTGAATATGGTTCTTGTTTAAGAATCCTGTGACCTGGTAGATGTGGACTGCAAACACTGGCTTGAGTTAATTTATGTAGTATATTATACTATCAACACCCCTGCCACCAACTTCCAGTTAATTTTCTGAAAATTTTGTCCTTTAAAAGAAAAACAAAAAACCTTCCTTGTGCACTGTTTAAAAGTCCAATTCCTGCTCTTTACAGAGTTGGGCATATGACCCAACAATTCCAACACCTAGGTGTATACCAAAAAGAATTAAAAACAGGTACTTAAATGAATATAGAAGCACTATTCTAAGTAGGGCTTTTGGATACACTCTGAATAGACAGAAACAACCCAACTATCCATCAACAGAGGAGTGGATAAACATATATATGTAATAGAATATTATTCAATCACGAAAAGGAATGAAGTATTAATACATGCTACAACTAGATGAACTCCAAAACATTACACTAAGTGAAAGAAGCTAGACAAAAGGTCACATATGATTCCATTGATATGAAAAATTCATAATAAGTAAATCCACAGAAACAGTAGATTGGTAGTAGTCAGGTGCTGGAGGATGAAGAGAATGGGCAGTAAATGCTTCATGGACATGGGGTTTTCTTTCAGAATGATGAAATGTTTTGGAATTATATAAAAGTGGTGGTTGCACAACATTGTGAATTCACTAAATGGACTGAATTGTTCATTTAAAAATAGTTTTATGTCACGTGAATTTCATCTCAATTAAAACATTCTTTCCACCAATGTTCAAAGCAGCATTATTTGTAATAGCCAAAAAGTAAAAACTACCCAAATGTCTATGAACTGATGAAGGGATAAATAAAAGAAGGTATATCCATTCAATAAAATATTATTCGGCAATGAAAAGGAAAAAAATACTAGATAACCTTGATATAGCATGCTAAATGAAAGTCAGTAACAAAAGACCACATATTACATGATTCCATTTACATGAAATGTCCAAAATAGACAAATCCATAGAGACAGAAGGTAGACTGGTAGTTGCCTAGTGCTGAGGGGTTAGAGGGAAATGGAGAAATGGAGAGTGACTGCTAATGGATTCTGTGGGAGGGACAGATGGTGTCTTTCAGGGTGATGAAAATGTCCTAAAATTGGCTGGAGTAATGCTTGCACTCTTCACACATTAAAAAATATTGAATTGTATACTTTAAAAATTAAATTGTAGGTATGTGAATTATCTCAAGGTTGTTACTTAAAAAATATATTGGGGGATAAGGAGTTGGGCAAAATAGGTAAAGGGGATAAACAAGTACAAACTTGAATAAAATTACAAATAAGGATAAAAGGTACAGTACAAGGAACAGTCAAATCTTATAACTATAGTGACAGATGGTAACTATATTTATCATGGTGTGCATTTCATACTGTATATAATTGTCGAATCACTGTTGTACACCTGAAACTGATATAATATTGTATATCAACAATACTTTGATTAAAAACATTCATTTATACAAAAAACTGTCATCTTTATATGACAGTACATACTATGCATAATGTGACAGTCTAAATTGGTTGATTTCTCTGAGACACTGGAGTCCTACCTGAGCTAAGGCACGAATTCCATGATATTTAAAGGGGGCTGAGTGACAGCAGCTCCCAAGAGTTTCCATTCAAAATAGAAGAGGCACCCATAATCTTGATGGAAGACTAAGGTATGCACACTCCGAGAAAGGGAAGGGAAAAATAGTGCATAGTATCATAGAGTGATGGATAGTCAGTACCTGGGAGGACCACAGCATTGTGTCTGTGAAGTCACCACAGTCCAGGGTAGACTCCTCAGCTTTGTACACCCCAACATTTTATTTTGCTAATCAAGTAACATCTTTAGGGAAAGTTTTCTTGACCTACCAGACTAAGTCAGCTTCTTGTATTATATGCTCTCATAGCAAAAAGTATAACATTTATCACACAGTGTTTATACACACGCCCTTGTGTAGTTGCTTTACCAATGTCTGGTCTTCTCTATTAGAACATAATCTGTATAAGGACAGGAGCCTGTGTTTGTTCCGCATTGTGTCCCCAGCTCCAAATATCAATTTAATGTCGCGTGAAGGTACGCCTAACTCCAGCTAACTAGACTCACAATAGATTGACAAAGAAATGGCAATATTAACTTATTTACAAATGAATTGAAATGGCCAATGGCAACAGAACGTCTATGTTGGCTGGTCTATCTGCCCATTCTTTCTTTAAGAAAATATAAACGGAAAGGCAAAATCCAGTCAAGGAGCCTTGAAATCAAGGCGAGGGAATAAGCTGCATATATTTCACAACTAGTAGCATACAGATCTGAGAATAGTGCACTTGTCTTCAGTGTAAAGGAGGCCTGTCCATCTGTAAATAATCCTGGGTCAGGACTCTCCTGAAAATTATTGAACCTCTCTGCCTTTTTTTTTTCTGATGTGCACAATAAACATTCCCCTTCAATTCACTTAGAAGTTCCTTTCATGAGAGCTAATTCAAACACAATTGATCGGATTCTGTCCTGTCTTAATGACATTCACATCCCTTACCTACCTCCTTGTGGTTACGCCCACTCACCAAGATCAGAATTCATATATTCTTGAAGAACTAGCTGTCCTTTTATAGATTTCCAATGGCTTTGGATGATGTCCTGACAATTAATCTCATTCATTATTTCTTCATTTCTTTCTCACAGGGCAAGAGTTAGATGGCAGCCATATTCTGCTGAGAAAAAAGTTTGCCAAGTAAGTGTATATCTGCTCTGATAGACTTTTTAAACCTTATATTTTGAAATAACTTTAGATTTACAAAAAAGTTGCAATGATAGTACAGAGTACTTTAAGGAATGTCAATAAAATGTTTTGAATGAGAACCAATGGTGTGGTGGAGCCTGCTTGTATAGGCTTCTAAGAACTGTTTGTGCAGATTTCTTACCAGCTTCATGTTCAATAATGTCTTATTGGTAGCTTGACATTGGCCATGGTGGTAGTATTTACACCATGGAAATTGGCCAATGTTGCAAGTCAGGGTCCCCCTATCAAGAGCTGGTTACTAAACATTTAGCTGCATATCAAATATACAAACCACTAATAGGGAAGGTGGTTCTGTTACATCAGGATACCCCAGCAATGATGTGAGAGATGTGTTGAAGGAGTGAGAGACTGGGGGCAAGAAGTTCCTTAGAAAGCTGTGACTTCAGATAGTAAGTAAGCAATGAGGGTTTGGACTAGGGGTTCCTGAGGAAAGCAGCATTTTAATAACTGGACCTTAAAAAATCAGTAGAATTCAGGGCAAAGTTAGAAATAAGAGTAAAGGTCATTCCAGACAATGGGAACAGTGCGAGAAAAGGTGTGGAGAAAGATGTGTAGAGTGGAGAGAGAAAAGAATCATGTCAGTGGTTGGGGATGGAGGACAGAGATTGCAAATGAAACAGAGCAGGGAAGGGAGGCCTGGAGCAGAACATGGAATCTGTGTGAATGAGCCATCTTTTTTCTGTAGGTAATGGAGAGCCGTTGCCAGTCACAGATTTTACTGTGCTCTAAGATCATACCACCCATGGGTGACAGAGAATCAAAACAGGCAGATGGCATACTGAGGATGTTTAGGGCCATGAAACTACTCTCTGTGATAATACAATAGTAGACACATGTCATCATACATACATTTTTCCAAACCATAGAATGTGCAACACCAAGTGTGAACCCTAATGTAAACTGTGGACTCTGAGTGACAACAAAGTATTGATGCAGATTCACCAGTCATAACAAATGTATCACTCCAGAGGGGGATGTTGATAATGGCAGAGGCCACACATGTATGGGAACAGGCAGTACATGGGAACTATCTGTGCCTTCTGCTTAGATTTGCTGTGAACCTAAAACTGCTTTAAAAAATAAAGCTAT